TTTCCTCTTTCAGTTTTTGCAACTGCTTGGACTGGCTAGCTTTAAGTTGGCATTGTTCTAGGCGAGTTATTTCCACCTGGGTCAGCTTAATCTTCTTGTCGTAATAGTGCAAGTCACAGTCCACGGAGTGGTACAACCTTTTAGCCAAATACTCAATGGGATCAGCCGGGCGCACTTGCACCACATCCTGTAGGCACTCTGGTAGAACGCGGCCAAATGCTTGTCGCAAATATAATCCATCGACTGTTGATATGTTTGGATGGTGTGGGCTAAAAGCTTCCTGTCTTGCAGCCTGTTGCTCCGGATAGTGTACCGTGTAAGAAGATGTTGGGATCTCATTTTTATCGGGATCCATACTGATAGTTTTATTAAGTCAAAGACGATGTAACTTTTAAAATTGAAGTCGTTTAAATAAATATCGATGCACAGGATCTCAGAACTATGTCATTTTACGCAGAGAGAGAAGAGAGAGTGATGGTACTTAGCTGCATAGCTCGTAGTCATTTCACCATTGTAAGGTCACACTTAGACACATCTCGATCTATTCAATACTGAGTCGTCTGAGTTGACATAAAAACAAATCTTGACTTGCTGAGCGAATGAGGCTCTTTCCCGTTTGAGGATCTCTGATTTACCAAGCATTTTTCTTTTGCATTGAGACATACTTCAGTCTACTCAAAAACAATCTACAGTCTTAGATTTAAAAAGGAATAGATTTAGTCTAGGTCTAAATTACGCTTGCATCGTGAGGTGTGCACTGATCAGAAAGAATTGTATACAGACTAGGAATGAGACTATCGGCTAGATTGTGGACTAGACTGTGGACTACTAGTCTCTCCACGAAGCCTCTACACAATGCTAGAGTCCAACTGCTTACCTAGAGTCTAAACCCTAAGCCATGATGGAGACGTGCTTCTATTAGAAAAGTTGTTAGTGCTTAACTGTGCAAGAAAGATAAGCTAATAATAGCCAAAGCGTTGTGTTTACACCAGCGACACTCACATTTGCTAAAACACATATAAAAATATCTTACACAGAACTATAAATTTAAACGCAATAACAATTTAGAAAGCCATCTATTACACAAATAGAACAACATAATCTACAACACTCATGTTCAATCATTTCATGAACTACTGATATAGACAGCATTGGTTAACAATAAGTCGTAAATACTTCTTCAAGAAATTATTGGGACTAATAGATTTTCAAAATTCTAAATCTGGATCTTATTAATTAAGGAAATGAAAGAATTCATGAAATCTAAGCAGACGTGAAGAGATTACTAGAACTAGATCCTAACATTTAAATTTTTTTTATTTTGGCCTCTTGGAAATAGGTTTCGGGGCTAGCCTGCCAGAGCCTATTCGATAGTGATGCTTCAATTGTGTTGCTAAATCTGAACATTCCAATAAACTCCTAATAACATCTAACCCAATCTTTGCTTTTCCGGCAGCGTGTTTCATGATTCAGTCAAGTCAAAGTTCAGATATTGACCTAGTTTACACAATGACTTTAAGGTCACGACATTGTTTAAAATCAATTTGGTAATATCTTTATTTTTTTCATGAACTAAATAAACAAACTAGTTTCTAAGTTATTTCCATTCTTTGAATGTTATTTTTGTTCCCTATGATTAGGTTTTCTTGTGACCGCGGAAAGTTCTTCCGGTATCCCACTGGATAGCAACCACATCCGGTTCGCTCAACGGAACGAGCATCACGACAGTAAACAACCAATTCTTGTGGTCTACACAGACAATGGTCAGCGGAAACACCCGACATATATTTCTCCCGAGGATGAAGGTCTGTAAATTATGCTGCATAACGTTTTGTTTCTTTTATGATTCTTGACTCAAAATTAGTCCCTGCCATTGTTATCTTTAATTTCTTTTCACAAAAAATCTCAAACATAGCAGAAGCCTATGCTATGGCTCTGAGCCTCTGTCTACTAGTCTGTATCTAAGCGTCTACTATGATTTAAGATTTATTCGCGAATGTTTAGATCTGCTTGTTAGACTACATCAAGGTTAGAAGACCGTTGTTTAGATCTGCTTGTTAGACTACATCAAGGTTAGAAGACCATTGTTTAGATCTGCTTGTTAGACTATATCAAGGTTAGAAGACCATTGTTTAGATCTGCTTGTTAGACTATAGATGTTACAAGACCATTGTTTAGATCTGCTTGTTAGACTACATCAAGGTTAGAAGACCATTGTTTAGATCTACTTGTTAGACTACATCAAGGTTAGAAGACCATTGTTTAGGTCTACTTGTTAGACTACATCAAGGTTTGAAGACCATTGTTTAGGTCTACTTGTTAGACTATATCAAGGTTAGAAGACCATTGTTTCTTCCTTTTGGTGAAATGTCGAAACGTTATTTCTAGTCTGGTGATCATGCATTGTCCATGTAGTACATTATCGACTTTATATGATTTAGTTTATTTGTTGATTTAGATATAGATTCAGGACGGTCTATTATTCATTGCATATTTTTCGATCTTAATTTTCTGTTTTTTTTAATTTCTTTTGGGACCTCCCTATTCAGTTTGCCTCGGACCTGCATATACCCAACTCCGTCCCTGCCTCAACCTTTCATGATCTCATGTATCAGCGATTAAATAGGGAACGGAGTCATTGTATGTTCTCCTCCTTTTAATTGGCCAATAACTTATTTCTTTTCAAATTCCGAAAACTTAAAAAAATATTGAAAACTTAAATCTAAATATTTTGTAAGTTAATCTCTAGCGCTAAATTAAATTATCAAATATTCTTTTGAATTTAAAGGGATTTAAAAAGTCTTTTTCATTTCGCAAATTAAACACAAATGTTTCCATATTTGCTGGACATGGTGTAGAGAAAGCAAGAAACAGAATATTTATGAACACATAACAATAACAATTTAATAACAATTTCTTTTCTCTTTTGCAGAATATTTAGAAATAAAAGAGGACATTGTAAACCGGGAACACAAACTTAACGGAACTTTCCGAGAAAGCATTCGTAAGCTCAATGAAAAGACCCGAAATGCTAACAGAACCAGAAGAAGCACGGAACCAGAAGATAATGGACGGAAGAAGCGAACATTCGACATGTTCCGGAACCGAAGGTCGTGCTCCAGGTACGAGATGCTTGTTGACTTTGAGAAGATCGGCTGGTCGGGCTGGATCATCTCACCCAACAGCTACAACGCCTATCAGTGCAAAGGCAAGTGCCCCTTCCCACTGGGCCAGAGCCAGAAGCCGACCAACCACGCCACGGTGCAGAGCATCGTCCACGCCCTGAGTGTGGTGAAAGACGTGGACACGCCGTGCTGTGTGCCCAACAAGCTCTACTCCATCAGCTTGCTCTACTTTGACGACAACGAGAACGTCATCTTGAAGCAGTATGACGACATGGTGGTTGCTAGCTGTGGTTGTCACTAAAGGCCACCCACGAATGTCTTGTTCCTTGTTACTCCACACAAGTGTGAGAGCGAGATCGTCTCGGAAGCTGTTTGCTGCAATTAGAACCACTTTGCACTGACAACCATTCTGCAATGGCAGCCACTTTGCATTGACGACCATTCTACTCTAGCCAGCACGTTCTAATACTTACCCCCCAATAAAACTCAGAAATCCAAATATCTTACAATAAAAGAAAACCTCATGAAAGTCAATCAGCAATAATTGGCTGAACATGAGCCGCTGGCTGCATCGTTTAAGCTTATACGGATTCTTTATTCCTCTGAATAAATGGAGCCATTAAAGTGTGTTGCTACAATTGGGTTCCATATTTAACAAATGGGATGCCATGTACGACCATGATAAAAAGACCATTTAAAATAACCGCTATTTTAACATTTAAAAAAAAAAACTTGGGTTGTTCCCATAAAATGTGAAATATCACTGCTAACAGATTGGTCTCAAAACAAAACAAGAATATGAATGTGTTTAGTTTTTTAAAAAAATTCATCATTTTGTTTGGACGACTATTTTAGTAACGTTTTGTTTCGCCATCCTAGCATGCGTAAGATTTTTTTTTTTTGATGGAACAATTTTTATATTTAGCCAGCATTAGTGACAATGCACATTTCATCATGGGCAATTTACAAAAGCATTGAAAGAGAATGCTCAAAAATAAATGACCATGTCAACAGTTGTATGTAAACCCCATTACAAAGAAAGTATACTCATTCTTTGCCTTTAAGTTCTTCCTAATTTTGTGAACAACGTACTATGACATTGCTAATACTTTGAAGACCTCTGCTTCTATTTCACCAAAAGTCTAGCTAACGTTATCTAGTAGGCCTACCCAACTGATCTTTACTTCACTCTAAATGTACACTTTGTCCCAGGATATAAAATGTAAAGCAGTTTGTGTTACGTTCTAGTTTTAAACATAGAACTTTTATTATCATACTCAAAAAAAATGAGATAATGTTTGTATCGTATTGACCATTCTTCACACATATTAGCCCAGAGTACCATACCAACAGCACTGATCATCTTTGTTTAACAAGACAGGAAGTCAGTCTGTGACGTTAGAATCACTAGAATCACGTGATCCCTTGGCTTCTATCTCAGATCAGTAAATCATAAAGAGTAAACAAGGCAGTGTCTCCCGAGTTCAAAGGTCAAGGAAGATTGCTGTACTTGCATAGTTTTCGCCCGTGTCACATATTCAGCTATTGTGTGTCATTTGTCTTTCCGTCGATACTCTGTAGTTTTATCTTGGACGATGCTGTGGTAGAAATCTGGCCTTGATGCATCACTGTGCAAGCTAAGGCTAGCCGCGATTTAGGAATAGGTCTTAATGTCTCTATAGGGGATGAAATATGTCTCCCATTCAATCAGAAAGTAGTTCTCATGGAGGTGAACAATAATGAATGAAATCTCTACTGTACAAAAATCTCAAGTCCTTGAGACGAATACAAAGATTTCCACATAGATGGTGTAGGAATTGTGTGAGGGGTGCACACTATGTGGTCGGGAGAACATTATTTGGGGGGGGGGGGGGAGGGGAATAAAGGAGAATGTTGAAAGGATAGAAGGATTCTGAAGAGGTTCTCATATTACCAGGTAGAGACACTTTTATTCTATTTTTCTTCCAATGTTAATGTCTCTGTAATGTATGCAGGCCTGACTAACTCACTTTTACATGTAGATCTAGTGAAGGTGTGGTGTTGAGTCTTTACCTTAAGAGACGCTGATTGTATCGACTGTGGGAGAGAGATTTTCTTAGACATCTGAACAAAAGTAACACAAATATCTGACAAAGCGTAGAAAAACTCATCACGCTGGCCTATATATGAGACGTAAAATTTAGTTGGATTCTAAAGTTATATAAAAAACATAGAAAGTAAGTGACCATATTATAAAGTACAGACTTTGGAATACGAGCGTAATAACTACAATTAATTGTACAAGTGTGTGTGTGTATGGAATGGAAGAGGTGGGGAGGATTGAAATTCCTGAGAACTTAGAGACAGAAAAAAAAGTTTGTCTTTAAAAAAAACTTCTTGAAAAGGTCTCCATCCTACAAACTTAATGTAACCTTAGTCACTAAGAACAACTTAAACAATATAGCAGTGCCATAGGAACAGGACATGACATCCATTGCTTCCCTGTTAGCATGGTTCCTGGGATTACTAGCCATTCGAATCTTAAACACTGCCCAACTTTCTTATTCAATTAATCTAGCTCTAAAAAATAATTAAATATTGCAAATTAAATAAAAACAAGCTATAGATGACTCTTATACAAGGCATTGAAGATCTTATCATTTGGATGTAGGTTATTGATTGGTGATTTACATTTATTTGTTCAATGTTTCATGATTGAGAAATTGACATTCAATAAATCAAACAAATTATTAGTTTTGTTTTCTTTGTATTCGGTGTAACATTTTAAAATCATCTTTCATCCTGACTTAGTCATTCATTTTTTGACTCGGGCATTCAATCAATCATTCATCTTGACTCGGCATTAAATCATTCGTCTTAAAGGGGCTTACATCTTGCGTTGAGCCTGTTTAATTGACCATTGACTATTTTCATACTAAAATACACACAAACCAAGTAATTTATTTCCGTCATTTTGACAGTTCCCTAGAATGTGTTGAGGATATGCCTCTATGTTTATTTGAATCCAACAGCAAGAAACAAATTTTATTTTTTTTAAAAATACGTTTCTTACGGAAGCGGACGGCAGTGTAAAAAGGGAAACCTCGCATTAAGAAAACAAATGAAGAGAAGTGTTTCCAAATGTTTTGAAGCACAAGGAATGCACTAGGTCTAAAAAAAAATGCTGACTTAATAAAAAAAAAAAAGCCCGTCCCCAGTTTAGTTACTGCCCTTGGTTTTGTAGCAAAGATTTAGTGAACATTTTACATAATAACTATAAAAGCAAGACGCGACACTCAGAGGCCGATCGTTATAACAGGCCTCAACACTGATCTGCGGCGTCGTAGCTTGTGGGCAGTTTAGACCAATAGCGCCTGTCACGTCACAGATCGGACGTCTTGAGTCATATTTTTTCATTAAAAAAAACAACAACAATAGGGTTTATCATACAAAAGGTAACTTATTAAACCTTAAACCATATCCTCTTTGAATGCCCCTCCCTAATCCACCTTAGGCAGACCCTACTTCCACTACAGCCCGACATAACCAACAGCCTGTACGGCAGTGCTGAACAACTGAAGAAAACAGCACACTTTTTTTCCTTGGCACAGTCTGCAAAAGAGCTCACAGCTCAGCAGCAATAAAGGTGGCTAGAAGAAGAAGATACAAAAGGTAAATAAAGTCTTTTCATGACCAGGTGCACACAAAAAAAACATACCTTCTTATTATTGGAGATGTCCTGCCTCTCAATAAATGTATCAAACTAACCGACAGACGGTCTTTTAAAATCTATTTATTAATGGATATCTCTAGCATGAACAATCAAAATATAAAGAATACATTTTAAAAGAAAAGTTTATCTAAGGGGAAGAAACTTTACAATTACAGCCATATTTACTATAAAATTTATTTTCCTTGTCGACATCAAACAAAATTAATTAATTACCACTCATTAATAAATTGGTCAATTTTTTTTTTATCGATTCATGTTTTGTTTGGTACAATGAATAATTGTGCAAAGTTCCAACATTATCAGAGAAGGGGAAATAGAAGAAATAACGTGGTCAAAAGTTGTACCAGACAGACAGCGAGTTGATAGTTATGCTTTTTTCTAAAAATGAATATGGGGTTTTGGGGTAGCATCAACAGTGTCACATCTTGACTTATGAAGCACTATCTGGATTCGATGAAACTGGAGATTTTGTCATCAGGTAAACCATCTAAGTAATATTAACTGTACTAATTTAGACATTATTAAATGTAATGATCTATATCACGAATTATCAATCAAGTTTAGACATGGCACAGAGAATTAGAACTGTTTTATTTTAAAACAATGAGGTACCGGTAATTAGGGTGTAGTTATAGGTCACCAGAAGCACATATGCTTACTAACTGATGTCTTTGTATCCGTTGTATAGAAAGATGAACAAACCGTGAATTTTTTTAAGAGGCCACGCAGACCCAACAGTGAATTACAATTTGGCTACATTTGAGGCTTACAATATTATCTTAGATTAGATTTATTAAAATATGACCATTGCCGAGTATCAATCAGCAATACTTCGTGAAAAGCTGGCATTTCAAAAGTAATCGAATACAAAAACAGAATCAGAATTTCTATGCAATAGACGGCAACACACTTGATCCCAGTGGGTGTGACATGCATGTTCTATAGAAGATTCTAATAAGACGTGTGTAGGATGACCTGCTGTTTAATCCCTCCTAGGCATTTTTAACCACGAATGTCAACATTACGTCTTGCATTCCAGAAATGTGTCATGCAGTTTTATATCCTAGTTAATTCCCTTGATTTTAGAGGCGATTTTTTTAATGTGAAAAAAAAAGTCCGTCTGTCTATATGTCTTTATATATTTGTATGTAAGTTTGTCTATGGGACCTTTTTGATCTGTCTACAAATTTTTTTGGAAGTTGTCTTTCTGTTGTGATGTGTGTCTACATGTCTATTAATCTGTCAGTTTAATCCACTTTATTCCTTTTAATGATAGTGTTTTATTACAAAGCTTATATTAAATCACTCAATCAGTCTGTCTGTCTGGTACAAATTGTGTTAACTTTTTTCTCCTACTTTCTGTTCTCGGATCAAATTGAAACTTTGCACAAGTTTTCAAAATTAACCAATTAGTGGGGGCACGGTGGATAAGTGAAGCGCTTGGCTTCTGAACTTTAGGCCCTGGGTTCGAATCTCTGTAAAGGCTGAGATTTTGAATTTCTGGATTTTTAGGTCGCCCCTGAGTCCACCCAACTCTAATGGGTACCTGACTTTAGTAGTGGAAAGTAAAGGCGGTTGGCCGTTGTGCTGGCCACATGATACCCTGCTCATTAACCGATGGCCAAAGAAACAGATGACCTTAACATCATCTGCCCTATAGACCGTATGGTCTGAAATGGGAATTTTACTTTTTTAAAAATCAATTAGTGGTAATTCATGAATTATATTTTATATAGAAGAAGGGACTTAAACTTGCAGTATTGATATGACAGTGATTTTGCAGTTCTGCTCTTTAGATAAGCTTTGTTATTTAAAAAATCATATTTTGCTTGTTTATCTTTTTTATTTACATTTGCTAGCAATACCGTACAACATAAGAAAATTCGCCATTTCTAAATATTAATAGGAAAATAATACAATATTCAGGTCCACTAAGGTTAAACACGGTCTGAAAATACTGCTATCTACCTATCTATTTACAATTGATTAGGCAGAAACAATTAGCCCAGAAGAAAGATTACACATTCATCCGAGTCTGGCGAGTGCATTCAATTCCACTAAAGATGCCATCACTCTTCTTTTGGGAGGTAGAAATTGTCTTCTTTACAATCGTCATTAGTGAGAAAGAAAGTAACTCTATTTCCAAGAGAGTGTTTCGAAGTAATTAAACGCAGACTCAAATGTCAACGATTTCTTGTTCCCTTTTCCAATTTTCCGACGCATTTGAATCGGCCAGACACATCGTTCAAAGTAAATGCATTGATGGTTTCTACTTCTGCGCTTCTTTCTGGCTTCTTCGGCTCTTGGCATTCAGACAAAAACGATCACTTATTGTCTGGCGGAGTGAAAGGGTTAAATGGGGGGAAGGAGACGGCGATGGGTGGAAATTGGAGTTAAAGGGGTGCTATTTTTAGAAAATTTGGAAGCATACAGACGTCAACATGTCCACGAGGTTAACCTAGAAGGTGGGAGCACTCACACGCGCCATACGTCACGCAAACACAAGCACACATCACTCACACACACTCGGCAATCACACATTGGGGGGGGGGGGGGAGAGGAGCGGGCCGAATGCTTGACGGATGCCTAACAACTGGCAGACATCAATCATTATTGGTTCTTGGCGCAGTGACGGCCCAACACACGTAGCAGTTTATTTGAAGCCATGATGTTATTTACACGTCTATATAAATATAGGCTGATACAAAGTAGTTTAGAAATATAGGGTTTTACATTTATAACAAACAAGGTAACGAAGAAAGCATATGTTTCAAAATATTAGGCGACCTTTGCGGCCCAGTCGTATCCACACAGCTCGGACCTAAACAGCATTAATAATAGTGAACCATCAGGAACAGACTTTGCTATGAGTAGTTCAGCTGGTTACTTCATCTAGTACTCACCACTCACGTAGCTATTAAATCCTGTTTTAAAAATGGTTTATAAGTATGTGCATGTACGTAATTAAAAAAAAAAAGAGATAAGCTTGAATCACCTTAAGTAACCGTAATTTAAACACAGTAAAATCGATAGTGGCATCGGATTTTCGTTGATATGGACGTGATAAACTAAAAGAGCATCCTAAACCTTAAAGAGTGATTAACAAACGAATATTCACATTTGACTAGAGTAACAAGAATAGTAATATCTCTAAATTTAGAGACACTTCAGTACAGAAGGCTGGCAGCAATAATACATAAAAACACTGAATCATAACTTACAAATTCAAATACCCAACCTAATAAACATACCAGAAAGACACAAAGATAAAGGCACATTTCTTATTCCATGTTAGGACTAATTCATGCAAATGCTCCTTCTTCTTCTCTAGTGCCATTAGAGCATAGAACGGGTTTTCAGGAAAACCAATGACTTAGCAGAGATTAAGTCTCTAATCAACACACACGAGTAGATTAACACACACGCGTAATTATCTTCTGTTTTGAGGAATGTCTGTAATTTATAAGATAAGATATGATAAGATAAGATAAAAGAAATGGCAAGGCGTAAAGAGTCAGTAACTAGCCTTTCTAAAGGGTTAAAACTTACAACGATGTCTCATTGCTTATTTATTAGACTAAAAAGACATTGATAGGGATTTAGTCTTTACTTGTTCTGTCTTCTCCAAACCTTCACTAGAGAGGCTGTACAAGTCTTCGTTCTAGATCTAGAAGTATTAGGACAGGGCTCTAGGATTAGGAGTGATTCAAATAGACTCGACACTTAGCTGTTGGAATTGCCACATATACAAACAATACACAATGCACAAGTAACACCTTAATCAAATGCTATACAACTATTGGTTCAATCTTGCTGCAACTACTAAAAAAATGACTCTGGTATCTCATAAAGTATATAATCTGGTATCTCATAAAGTATATAATCAGGTATCGAATCAGGTATCAAATTAAGTATAATATCTGGTATCACATCACGAGAATAGTCCAAGACTTAACGACTTCGAGTTATGGTGCGGTGATTCCTCGGTGCAACCCAAAGCAACGAATAGGTAGGACCA